CGCAAAGCAGGATCGAGGTGTTCCTTGCGCAGATCAATCACAAAGTTGGGGATTCCCGTATCGTGGGCGATGATCTCCCAGCTATCATCACGAGACGGCCGCACCTTCATTACCTGCATATCCTCGTCCCATTCGTGGGCGGCGGCCACGGTGCCAGTATGCGTGCCACATCCGAGGATTGCGACATTCTCGCGGCCAAAATTCTCTCGGATCAACTGACCGATATTGACCTCTTTGCGGCGCGTGCCCATGCTGGTATAGCGCGCATCGCCGCAGTGCGAGTTGTGCGCCCAGACGATGGCCTTGGCGTCAGCGGGCTTGTGCCGGAACAGCCGTCGCAGAGTGTCGAACATGTGCGTGTCGCGCAGTGTCCACGAGGAGGCGGAACTGTAGTACATGGCCTTGTAGTAGCGCTCCGCGTCGCGGACGACAAACGCGTTCTGCTCGCCGCTGTGGAACTCCTCCCCGTCGCGCACATCGTGCTGCGCGTATTGCAGCCGCTTGTCCAGCAGGTCGCGCAGCATCTGCAGCACCCCGCGCTCGCAGTCCTCCATCCCGCGGAGCGGAGGCCAGCCCGTACGCGGAGGGTTCGTCCAACCCAGGGGCTGGAGGCAGCCGTACCGGCGGCGAGCCTCGCTTGCCGGCGGCTGGGATCCACGCGGTCCAAGGTAATCGATTACGGCGCGGATGGACGCGCCCATGCTGTAGAGATCCAAGCCGTAGATCCCGGGCCTTCTTCTCGTCGGGCAGTTTGGAATTGCGGTCGCGCATCCACTCGGACGAGATCCTGCATCTCGCGGTTGCGCACATCCAGGTGGGAAACCCGTTGAAGGGCTCGGAGGTCGCGAGCCTTGCCACCAAATGCCCGCCTTAGGGCCGGGACGCTGGCGGACGTAGCGATCGATGGCCTCAGCGTCGGCCAGTCCGCCTCGAGGCCACCATCGTGTGCCCATGCTGCTCGATGAGCCGCTTGGTTATTCCCCGCGCGCGCGGCGTAGAATTCCGACGTGCCATGGCTACCGTCACCTAGTAGCACGACCTTGTAATTTCCGAAGTCATCAAAATGCGAGCCGAAGCTGGGGTCCGAGATGGGGGCAGCGGCTGGGCTGCCTCGGTGAAAAGTTGCTGGAGTTGCGCCATCATGGGCCGAGAGCGAGTAAATAATCGATGAACAAACTGCATTAATCAGTTCATTGTCGATGGCAAGGAGTCGGATATGCGCGCCTCGACTACTAAATACTCAAGATATTAATACTAGTGGTGGCCAGGCGGCGAATGAAATCACCTCCTCGTCAGCTCTCTATCATCATGACTTCACCGCAGCATATGGTACCAAAGAACCTCAAACAACGCATATTATATCGTGTAAACCCTGTAGATAATAAATCCAAATCTCTCGCAATAAGCAATGAATAGTCTCCGCAGAGTCTTTCCCATATTTAGATCTAAATCCCTATCAGCTAGAGTACTAACAATAACAACAAAAGCACAAAATCGCACCCTCTCAATGGCCACCCCCATAAGCAGCCCCTCCCCGCGCCTCGACCGCTTCCAACAAGCCGTCGAATCCCTCTACGGCAGCTTCTCCTCCATCCCAGACCCCGCCTGGACCCCCCCCCAAACTCCGGCGGCCACCGCGGCCGCTACCTCTGGACCGACGCCTTCGGCGTCCTCACCCTGATAACCATGCACCGCGAATACGAAAAGTCGCTCGCGAAAGCAGCCCAAGCGCCCGATGATCGGTACCTTGTCCTCGCGCGGCGGGTCGTGGAGACCGTGCACGAGGTGCTAGGCTCCACACGCGACGGCAAGGCACGGCTGCCCGGCGCGACGGCGGAGAACCCGCTCGGCGGCGGGCTGCGCATCGGGAAGATGGACGAGCGCGGCCCGGACGCGGACGGCCAGTACCACCATTACCTGACAGTGTGGATGTTTGCGCTGAACCGGCTGTCGCTGGCGACGGGGGATCCGGCGTACAACGAGCAGGCAGTGGCGCTGGCCAAGGCGATCCACCCGCCGTTCTTTGTGAACCGTGAGTCTGCGCGGCCGCGGATGGTCTGGAAGATGGCGATGGATTTGTCGGCGCCGCTGGTGGCTTCCGAGGGAAAATTTGGACCCCATTGATGGTACGTGGTGTTTCGGCTGCTGCAGGGGCGGCGAAGCAGCGTGGAGGGCGGTGCTGGCTGAGGGAATGCGGACTATAAGCGCGTGATGGAGCGGAAGGGCAGCATTTTTGTGTCGAGTGATCCACTGGACCTGGGGATGACGCTGTGGACGGCGCATTGGTTTCTCGGAGAAGGAGGACTGGGCGGCGAGGTTGCGGGGCGGTGCTTTGAGCAGATTTGTATTCTTGTCGTTGTTGCTTGGAGGATGAAGCTGATGGACACAGATGATCTGTTTGAGGTCAACCGCATACCTCGAGAACGACCAATATCAAGTACCGGCGTGGCGTTTCGCGAGTATTCAGGGACGTGTATGAGGCATCCAGTGCCAGGCGGAACAGACCAACTGAGAAGCGACCACACACGCAACGCGACCAACACAACAGCGGATCCGACCTCCAATGGTCGATCCGCTATAGCACCACACACAATCGCGGCCTGGGCATCGTACATGAGACAATGTCTCTCGCAACGACGTGACGCCGGACGGATACTGCGACCATCAGCGTCGGAGTCTGGTCAATGCGGCGCGCGTTGATTCCATGGAGGTGAGCAAACACAACAGCCAAACGAGACTGAGGAAACTGAACAGCAGGTGCAGCCTTTCGCAGCGGTGAAATCTGAGGTCCTGAGAACACGAGAAGTTCCAGAAAACAGTAGGCTGAGGCAAAGAGAATGCGTGAGTGTACACGGTTGCAGTTCAGAGTAGTACTACTGCCAATGCCACAGAATGAAACGAAGAAGATGTCCCTACTCGTACACAGAAAGTCTAGCATGCATACCTATCGTCGTTCTGTATACGTCCAGGAATTCCAACGATATCCCTCCAGCCGGCACATTCAACGCAAGACGTATACAACGTAGACCGTCCCAAGAGCAATCAGCAGCCCAGACCACTACGCATTAGCATGCATGACTCTCTTCCGGATAAGAAAACATACCTTTTCCAACCACGTGTGGAACCAAATCGAGGTCATGAACAGCATCCACCATCCCAAACCCACAACAGCCCCAACCAACCGTAAAGACCAAGTCCGCATCCAATTCCCCTGCTCATCCTCACTCTGAACTTGAACCTTCTCACCCTCACTCTGACCATCAACCTCCCCATCCACCTTCTTATCACCCTCCGCCCCCGCAGAAACGGCCCTCATTGCCCCGACAGCCTCAAAAACCAGCATCGACGTCGCAAGCACGAGCATACAACACCATGCCCACTCACATCATGGCCCCCGTCCACGACCCCCCAGCTGCCTTACAAGCCGCCGCCGTAAACATCTTCTCCAGACCCGCAGAAACCAGACCCCGCCTGCGCAACAGCCACCCGCCGGGTTTCCCGACGTCTCCGCCACAACGCGCTCGCATTTCCCGCCCGTAATCACAAAAACTGCGCGTCGATAATCGGGGGCCAAAGAACCATTGTGTGGCTAGGTAACCACACTAGCGTGGCCAGGCTGTATCGGAGGGCGGCCTGGGCGAGTCGGCGCGGTTGGTGTGCGGAAGGGGCACTGTAGGCGGGTTGAGAAACGAGCAGGGAGACGAAGGCGAGCGTGGTCCAGAGCCAGCCAACTTGACCAAAGTAGGAGATTGAAGATGTTATCCTTGCGAGCGAAGTAGTTGACCGGGTTTGGAGGGGAAAGGTTCACGTTGGCGGCCGATGGAGGGTGCCAGAGAGGCGGGACGCGCGTAACGGCTTTGTCGGGAGCCTCGGGCTGTGGGAGAAAGGATGGAAAAGACGCGATCCCACAAGTAAGGTCACTGGATACGATACCAGAAGAGCTGTCGTTTGGAGGCCGCAATTGTGGTGGTAGATGCAGTTGAAGGGGGTGATCGCTCTCGTGAAGCCATCTTGCTGGTCTATGTGTCTTGCGGTCGAAAATCTTTCGTTCTATTTTTTTTTCTGTGGCAGGACGAAACTGGAACTTGAAGGCAAGAAAGTGAAATGTTATACAATCAACGCTGAAGATAGGAACTAGTCCACAACATCATGTGTCCCCTATAATGCAGTGGTGGATGAAGAAAGATCTCTAGGATGACGTCGCGGTGTGTGTTCGGCGAAGTTCTTGGCTTGTGATGCTCACAACAACCGGACTGTGGCAGCTTATGTCATACAGGCCTTACCTCTAAAGTTAAGCTATCATACACCAAACATACTAAACGCAACTCCTACTCAGTTGAAGGTATGCAAGCCGCAAGAAGACCAAGGTATTTTCTCAGGGGAAATGCTAGTTCCAACGGAAGAGAGGATGCACTGCTGAAAAGACTGAACAGAAAGAGCAATAGCAGATTAAGAGCATGCTTTCCAAGAGTACAATGGACTCAACTGTACAATCACTCCATACCAGCAACCCGGAAAGAGAGATATTAGACACAAGGAACAGAATGATGTTATACCTAGTTTACCTCCAGGTCAGCGCATCTCCTAGGTAATCTACAACCATATACGAACCCTGATGCCCTCTCAGTATTCGCTCAGTCCCACTTCCGTAAGTACTCCAAGTGATTCACTATCCCATTCTTTGTGAAACTCCTGTAAGAACTATGGTAGTCACTTACCCCTATGTTTCAATTCACCACAGATAAAAAGGACACATGAATCATACGTGCATGATGATAAAGTGTTACTACCTCTATATCAAACTAATCTATTCTATTGCTGAACACGTGGCACTCTATAACCCTATCTCACCTGTATCTACAGCTACAGCTACAATCTACATCTACGTCTACGGAATACATTTACAACAATATGAACACTACTATCACTGGCAGTATGCAGCAGGCAGCAAGTAGAGTTCCAGGTTCACAGCTGAACAAACCGCCCAGCATGGTCCATCACTGAGCAAGATCAACACCAAGGCAGGGCTTCTGCCACCAGCTCATCCCCAGACTGAATCTGACTGCCGATCGTAGGAATGGAGGTCCACCTTTCTCTTCGGAACTGGCCATGTGCCACGAAACACTGAGTGTCAAGGAGGCCGACGAGAGAGCCGATGGCCGCGTGGAGCAGAGCGGGAATCCCATCCTGGTGATGACATGGCCGCTCCCGTTTCTGCTCTGGAAGCGGCTGTAAAGAAAGGTAAGGCTGCGCTCAGGACTCCTCGGTGTTTTCAACCAGATCCATGTCCCGACCGGAGATACGGACTGGGGGGACGCTATCAGTGGGACTGCTTGGACTTGGCCACGGCGCCGGCAAAATCGTCCCTCATCAATGCGATCATTGATGAGAAGGGGATGCTGGTAACGAACTGTTATGCGTTGCAGCCACCGAGGTTGCTTATAATGACGGCCCTCGGCGATACAAAGCGGAGGTTCACTTTATTCCAGCTTGAGGAGTGGAACCGAGAGCTAGAGATCATGTGCCATGAGATGCTGGACGAGAATCCGGATATAAACGCCATCAAGACTACCAGGGAGAAAATCAAGGCTGTGTATGCCGAACTCGATAACGGGAATATCGCAGATACCACGATGGGAAGGCTGCTTGGCCATCCGCGCATCGCGAAGCTGCTGGGATCTTCGTTCTTGATCGAGGAAGACGACCCTCGGATGCTTGCAGACAAGCTCAAGCCCTACATCGACAGCAAGAGCGGAAACAGCCCGAAAGGACGCAGGTCTTTGGCCGCTTATCAAGACAGTCCGTTTGTAGGTCAAAGCCCAGGCGCTATCAACCGGTGCGGTCCTGGTGGATCTTCCTGGCCTGTATGACTCAAAACGCTGCTCGTGTCGCTGTCGCAGACGACTATCTGAAGCGCTGTGCGGCCCACTGGATCGTGGCGCCCATAAACAGAGCTGTGGATGAATAAGATCGCCCAGTCGTTGGTCAACAAGCATCTCAAGTCGCAGATGATCTTCGATTGCATATGCGATAGTTTAACCTTCATCTGTACGAAGACCGATGACATTTCTGTCACTGAAGTCCAAATGTCTCTGGCGCTCAAAAGCCCGTCATTTGAATCTAGAGGAAGAGAGAAGGCTTCCGCTGATTTGTCGACCGAGGTGCCAAATCCTGGAAAAGAGTGCCCAACGAGTGTCTGAAGAGCTAATCCAGCATATTGAAAAAGACGAGGGCAAAATCACTCGTATGGGCGCCGCGCAACCGTGACAGAGCTGGTGCGCGATTACCACACAGCGATTAATTACACCACAGATCCTTAAGCTCTCGAAGCAAGAGATACAACTAAAATTAGAATGGCTGAAGCCATTCGCAAAGCAGAGCAGCATCCATATTGGACGAACTGAATCTCAGTGCGAGAATGGTCCAGCAACTCCGAACGACTCTCCAGCAGCGGTGGAAACGAGGCCATAACCAAAGAACAGACTGGGGATCAGGAGGGTCCAGGGAATGATTTATTCTGATTCGAAATGTCGGTCAAATCTGAGTACTAACCATAATGCCGTGCTCCATTCCAAACCTTTGGGTCACCCATCGAAGCCACAGGATCGGGTACGTGTCGACCTGGGACTCGCTTGTGGCGCTTGGGCCAGTGGGTGATTCGCCAGTAGTCAATGCTTCAAATGCTGTCACAGCACTATCTAGATAGTTAGTAGTTAGTCTAGATCGTCTGTTACTTGCAGATGGTCCATCATTCTCATGCAATGGAAGATGGAATACCCTCTGTTTAAAACATAGTAAATGGACAAACAATGTCGGCCTGTCTAGGCTCTTCATCTCGAGGACTGCGTAGATAGACTGACTCTACTTGCGTCAGAATCGTAGCTAAATGCCAGTACTTCTGTCCCGTCCACGAACAATCGACGAGCTTCCACAAATGCACGCTAAGCCAGCAGCAGCACTTGATCACTTTTACCAGCCTCCTGGTTTTCTCTGTGAGCCAAGTAAATGGGTAGAGGATTGATCACAAGATAGATAGATATAATCCAGAGAGGACAATTGAGAAGATAACAAGTCATCATTAATATATTAAACTTCTCTCTGCTAATATTGTTGATGAATTGACAGCTCTCTCACTTCTCTGCTACACCACACAAGGTAACACAGTACTGAGAGCACATGACTGTAGCATCAGCAGCATCAACATTTCTATTATGCATCCTTCTCCTCCTAACCACATCGCATTCACGATCCTGTGAAAACACCGTGAATTGATTTTGGATATCTGATATTTTTCTTGATCTCTTCCTCCCATCTCTATATTGTTCACTATCGCCTCCTCTCACCCAGTATACCAGCGGAAGAATATCAAGATAAACATTTCCACCGCCTTCGCTGACATTCCGATACGCTCAGCAATCAGCGACTGCAATTTTTCATAACCAGGAAAAGACCAGAAACAGGAAAACGCCGCAAGAAGAAAAAGAGATGGTTCTTCCTCAACTCTTTGCCCGTCACAAATCCAAGCGATCCACTTCTTCCAAAGAGGATTCGAAGAAGACTTCATCGCCAAAAGTCCTCCTCTATCGACGGAGACTCTTCCTTCTCGGTCGTCCTCGACTTCAACTTCTTCGTCTCGCCACAACCCCAGTCATCATCCTCATCTTCGCTCTCCATCCACACCCACCGCCGACTCCCGTTCCTCTTCCTCACATCATCCATTCATCCACCGTCCTCTCACTCCTCGAGATCGTCCAAAAATCCAAGTCGAGATCTCAGACCTCCGCTAAATCCAAATCTTCCTCGTCCAAGGACGCCTCCGCTGCGAGGTTCAGTTTCCCTACCTCCACGGCTATCCTCCCACCTTCGATCGTTTACTCCCGCGATCCCGACTTTCATCCTTTTGAATCTTCCCCCGACGAGCTTACGTCGTTTATCCGCCATGGCTTCTGCGCCGCCGATCGAAGTTCAATGGATATCGATTTCGCCTGCCTCTCCTTTCCCAGAACACCAATGGTGTGAACAGGCGCTCAGACTGACCGGACTCCTAACCCCGCCGCCGCACAAGTCCAATGGCTCGGTCGCCGAAGCCGACACATTTTAAATTGGCGGGCAATAAATTTTTCAAGACGGAAATTACAATCGCGCAATTGAAGAGTTCACCAAAGGTGAGTATGCATTTTCATATCTAGAGTATTCCACAAGGCTAATTGGTTAGCCATTGAAATCAACCCCAGTTCCTCCATCTACCTCTCCAACCGGGCTGCGGCATATCTCTCTGCCAACCGCTACCTCGAAGCTTTAGAAGATGCCGAGCGCGCACTGGAGCTGGATCCCGACAACTCCAAGATCATGTATCGTCTGGCCCGCATTCTGACTGCGTTGGGACGTCCGTCCGAGGCTCTCGAGGTTTTGTCCCGTGTTCAGCCCCCGCCTCTGCGACCGACCGTGCCGCTCCTGAAAAGATGCAGCGCTTCATCAAACAAGCCGAGGAAACCTTGGCGGAAGATCGGGGTGTGTCGATGGTGCTATTCT